AAATGTAGATATCAAGTGAATAAAATAACTTACCACTTCTAAATAAGCTGCCTAAAATACCATAAGACATATCCATCTCATGTGTTACTTTCTATAACACAATAATAACACACTTTAACGTTTATACAGAGATGCAGATTGATAACAAAATTAACAAAAGTCCCAAAATGTACAATAAATGAAAATTTTCAAGAGATTAGCATTAACTTCACTCTTTATTCCAACAATCCAAGGGTTCCTAAGATGCAGTATATCAAGTGACTTTTATTTGAGAAATGTATGAGAACATGGTCTATTGTGCCATGTAAAACCAGGAGTGTTTGGCGTACAATGCTAGTTGAAGTAAGTCAAGCTGAGGTAAAAAACGCGGCCTAGAATCAACAAGTTATTAGTCTTTTTAATCAGGTTACATATTCAAATTTCGACAAAAACAAAGTTGATCTTGGAGGTTTGAGTGCACCAAATTTAGTTCAATTCCATTAAAAAAATGCTTAAATAGTCACTACTATATATAATATAGAATAGTACTTACCCTGATAGATTTATGTATTTTACCAATATCAGCAGGTTTACTTTCACAACTACTGTCTAAATTTCTACAAATATATAGTCATCAAGTTAACAAATATCATTATCAGATTACAATTCAGCACCCAGTTCCCCTACAATTAAAACCTATCATTCAAGTTAAAACTGTTGTAACTTTCAGGTTGTAGTAAGCAGTTTCAATATAATTATAGGGGAACTAGACTTCAGATTTTTATTCTGAAAAGTCATACAAATGGCCAAGACTAACCTACATCACCATAGTTAAGCTATTCTAAAATTGAATACCAAAATTCTAAAATATTTATTTACTTAATCTTTCTTTACAAAATATTGCAAATTGCAAATTGACTTACTTGTACATTTCCCCTATCTTACAATCTAATTTCTCCAATTTAGAAAACAGAGATCTTTTTTCTGTCCACACCATTAATTCTTGTGAGATTTCAGGAACACACAGAAAGGTTCTCCATCCTCGAGCTTTCTTAGATTTTAATATATCACCGAAAATATGATCACCAACATACAATACTTCACTACCGTAGGTTTTCATTAATTCAGAGAAAACATCCACACAACCTATATATATACAATATAGTAAAATTATACAACAACATTTCCTGATGCTTCGTCTTATATCTAAAACACATGTCAACTCTTGTCAAATGAAATTATCGAATTATTTCCAATTTATTTTGAAAAACTCTCTTAAGCTGTTGCCACATGTTTCAGATATAAAACTTTCATCAGGACAGTTGGGTTTGGACATTGCTTGATACTTTCTTTAGACTTTAGATATTTTAATATTATATTACCTCCAGAATAGATATGTTCAGTACTGATTGGTCCTGTATGTGTCCCTAGTTTCAATTTACCAGTTTTCTTCAAATAAAATAAATATTTATTTTCAAATAGACAGAAATTCAAGGTTAGAAAAATTAATTAAGCAGGCACTAGTCATTTTAAAGATGGGTTTCCTTGTTTTTTAGTGTCAAATTAAGCAAACTATTTGATAAATTGGTGTTTTTAATGAATTATCATATATTCTTAATCATATCTTATTATATATAATTAAGAGTTTTAACCAATCATAAATGTCCATGTATGTACAGTCTGGATAAACAAAAAAGACTTTTTGACTTTTCTTGATTGGTGACTCATTGTAATTCTGCTGGTAATTCTCTTCTAATTTAGCTAATTATGAATTAATCATGGACATGTGAGACAGACTGGTATTTTTCCAAGTCATAAGAACACCTCAATATAAGTGTTAGCATTTTCATTTTCATAATTGAAAATAAGGGAACCAATCTTTAAGTCCTCTTAAACAACAATTATTTTAGGAATATATTGGACATAACGGAAATATAACCAATTTCAAGCAACAGGCTTAAAATATTTATTAGATTCAGTTGTAAACTTGATAACTATGACAGGCATCTCTCTGAGTATTTCTCATAAAATAGTAAGCTCAGAATCTTCAAATTGCCAATTTTATCATGAATTCGGGTTTCTCAAAAACTGACAGAATTAAAACTTTGAAAAATATTGTGTGTTATGTAATCCTAAATGTTATTACCTTGTCCACCTGTCTTAGGATTGTCCCTTCTCCAAAAAATAATGGTTTCTTGGCATCAACAACAACATAATCAAAAAAGGAGGTCCACTCTCTTTTGGTTCCACCATACTGGTAAAGTTAAAAATATCAAGGTTCAATAAATTATAAGTATATTATTACAAGATAATTTTATAATTATTTTAGATAACCTTTTACAATAAGTCAATTGCTGAATATAAAAAGCACAATTTTTAAAATTCTAAAACAAATCCACAGAAAAAGTTTATAACTTCACAAAGATCATCTATAAATACTTTGAAACAATGTGTAAAATAACTGCCTTTTTTTCTACTTTGTTTTTTTTTTGCTTTTTTTATGTGAATTAAATAATTCAAACCTTTTCTGCTGGATAATCAAATAAATATGTCATAATTTTCTGAAAAATAAACATAACTTATTAAAGGTTGTTTTTTTCATATTCACATCCTCAATGAATTTCAGGCCACATATTCTCGAAACGATCTTAGCGCTAGGATGTCCTAGGTTCTTATCTTCTAACATTGATTCCAAGACATCCTAGCGCTAAGATCGTTTCGAGCATACACGGCCAGGCTTCTATTGCTATGAACACCATTCACGTTTTTACCACATTTGATATTCTCTCTTTTTTCGAAAAATATTTTCAATAAATAGTGCAATTAAAAATCTTTTATTGTCAGATTTACTTACATTGGAATAAGTATAATCACTATTTGTTGCAAGAAATACTTTGGCACCAGAATCCCTGATTCTAAAATAGAAAGGAATCAATTTATCAAAATTTCATGTGCTCTCTAGAAAGTTGATTTTGAAGCTAAACATTATAGCTATTCTCTAATGAAAAAATAGGGCTGCCAGAGAAAGGATTATGGTCAAATTCAATTTTAGAAAAAAGAAAAATTTGAGAGGTGGATAAAATATGTACCTGTCTAATAGAATTGGTAATCTGTCATCTTTTAAAACATATTTATCTACATTTTTTATTGTTTCTTGCTTCAGTGGACCCTAGAATTTAATATGTAAATTAATTGTCTGAAACTAGTTTGTTTCCTTTATCAGCTCCTGAGGACAACACTGGACAACATCAGCAAGACTTATACTTTTATATTAGATTTAAGCTCTTGTGTTCCTGTCAAAAAGCTTGATCAAATTTGAAATTCACTGCAATATCTTAATGGGTGTCTCTACCAAGGCAGGGCATGCACACTCTTCTTGACTACCTAATGCTACCCTACTAGATTTGGCATCCTTTCACATAGCTAATATTTGGTATACCTTCATTATCAATCCAAATGGGTTTAATTCAGGAATTTCAATTCATTTAATATTGTAGACAAATGTATTTCATTACAGTCTTAAATTTTGAAATTACATCAAATTAGTTGTGGTCTGAAGCCTGAAAAGTAATATCGAGTTATTTCCCCTTAATTACCAAAAGTCAATGGAAAACTTACCTCCTTGTCATGGACTACTCCTGTAGCATCTAACACATCTTGATAAATAGATTTGTAAGTCATGGTTACATCACTGAATTTTACACCAGTTTTTGTACTGAAGAATAAAATATATTCAAAGTGTATTTTTCTCAGAATATAACAAATGTCAATCCAAAACTCTGAAATGATCAATGCCTGATCACAAAACTCTGAAATGATCAATGCCTGATCACAATTGACAATGTGTACAAAATCAGATTTTGTATCATGAAACCACCTTCAAAATACTACCAAAGAGTCTTAGATTGGGTTGATGAAAATGCCAATCAATGAAAAAATTAGTATTTGGCAATTTGATTTTACAGAGGAGAAGTTTTGTCCTATTTGTGGGTCAATTTCAAAGGAAATTTATCGGATGGCAGTGTTAAATATTATATTAACAGGTCAACCACATGTAAACCTAAAATTTAAATCCGTTTAGAAAGCTGAAAGACTGCAAGTTGTAACAATAAGAATAAGCCTGCGGAATTGTATCAAATTTGTAATTCTCATATAAAAATGATTCTGGATAATCCATATAGAATTCAACGCAATTATGAACAAAAAATAAACAAAAGAGAAACAAACAGCATCAAAATGGATGAATTTATTCCAATATCGCCAATTTCCATTCTGTCCCTTTCCAATTTGGATCTTTTTATTTTGCCTTGGCAGCTAAATTTCAGCTTACTTAATTTATCAAATTTTAACTGCCCTTGTACCACAATGTACACAGGACCTGATTCCAAATCAGAACAAGCTATTAGTTATATTATCTTATTTTAAAAAAGGAAGGGGGGAAGGGTATAGTTGAAAGGGACAAAATGTGTAAGGGGTAAACTGGGAAAGGTGCAAATTGGAAGGTGGCAATATGAGGAAGGGACAAAATAGCAAGGGTGATCTGTTAAAGGGGGAAACAAGAGAATCATTTATGGGCGACTTTGGAAAAGGTCAAAAAAGGGAAGGGGCAATGTGAAAAGACACCAAATTGGTTAGGCAATAAAAGAATATGCTCATCTAAAATAAAAAACTAACAAAATAATTGAAAATTTTTGAAAAAAAATACTGTAAACCAAAAAAATTAAATAAAAAGTATTCATTGTCCAAGTTTGATAGCCTAATTTGATCCAAATTTTTCAACCTTTCACCCTAACCCTAAAATCAAATTTTTCTCTCAAACTCTTTAATTCTACATAAAAACCTTATCCCAAAATAAAAATGAAAAACCAAGGAAAAACTTTATTTGGTGAATTATGTTCACCCTTACGTGTCACCACTCCATTCTTTCACAAATTTATTAGTGTCCATTTTATCATCATCTCTACAAGATTCAAATATTATCAATGTTTCATTTCATCAAAATGCTTTTTTCAAAGAAAATCATTTGTTCAGCATGTCAAATATATTTTCTTTTTGCACCAGTTCAATCTTATGCAGTTTTACAATTTTCATATGACATAATCCATTATAAACTCAAAGTTTCCATCTTGTTTCATTTGCATTTTGATCTGCTGTCAACCATAATTAAAAAATTTGTTTTTTTCCTGTCATGTTTACTTCAATCCAATATAAATGAGCAAGCATAGCAATTGTTATCAATCTGCCATTCTGCATCAACACTGACTTCTCAAACCTTTTCAATATATATGACGCAAAAGTATGTTTTCAGACATTTATTTGAATCAACAAGAAAGATTGCCACTAGCAACTTTGATTTTAAATAAGAATATTTGGAATACAGGAAAATCACCAGTAATTCTTTCAAACACTTTTGGGTGATAATGAACAATATATCCCAAGTTTTGTCAAAATCTGTTGAGATTGTGCTTTCTAGTGTGTTTACAAGCTAAATATTCAATCCGTTTTCAAGAGCAAAACTCATGTGAAATATTTTTTTAATTCTTCTGATAATCAATAGGTAAATAAACAATTTTAAAAAGTTTCGTCAAATCTCTAGACTGGAGTAATAATGGACGGACAGATGGACTGAGTCACATTGGTGACGTCATTATACACTGCACAGTTCATCTGGACATATAAAAAACGTGTAGGGTCCTCAAAGATATAGCATTTTACAAAAAAAATGGTCCAGTTTTTTATAATTAAGTTCAATAGATACCTGAAACAAAAGAATATTTTTCCTGAAATTATTTCTTTGAAACTAATGTCTTTTGATTAATGCTTTCATCATACAGAAGTTATTTTCTGATTCTTTGATTTTGAAATGTTTAGGCAATCCTCCTCACCTGTCACAAATCCACACCGAATTCTTTATTTAACAGATAATTCTTAATTCTAAATGACAATCATAGAAGATAACATCTTAGAAGATAGATTTAGACAAAATGTAACTTTCTAGAAATAAATGGAGTTGTTGAAAGCTTTCTAAATCTTAATTTTCAAAGCAGGTGCATTACAGAATGAACATGGTAGATGCATGTTGCTTGTCTACTAATGTGCATTTATTAATTTGTGTACCATTCTTTTAAAACCATTATATGAAGTAAACTAGAAACATAAAAATCTTCCATACAGAAAAAGAAACGAAAAGGAGTTTTACTTTTCTGCACCTGATTGGGCTAATGATGTGCAATGAGGGAAATTTTTACAAGGACTGCATTAGTCTACTGTCCTTCATACTCCATCTGTGCAGGGAACTTTTTAACATGAAAAGTCTGTAGCACATGAGATCTCGGTTTCTAAATCTAAAGATATTATCTTAACCTATGCCAGGATTGAAACCTAGACCTTCAGGTTCGCAAGCTGGTGTCTTACACACTGAGAAAAAGAGTCAGTATATCTATTGAAACAAAAAAACTGCCTTAACTGAAGATGCGCTAAAGGGACACATGCACCATTTTGGAGGGTTGATTTTGGTGTTAAATATATGTAAATAATCTTCAGAGATACTAGAAATGTTAGAAAATGCCCAAATTCCTTTAAAAATACTTCAAACTGGGAATTTTACTCACTATTTCTATATATGTCTTTTCTAAATATCAGAGAGTATCTTAAAGAGACGAGTCGTCATTTTAACATTCAAACTTAGATAATTCTGAATATACATGGATTTGAAGGCTCAATTTTCGAAGGTCAGCTGTGATCACTATTACTGATTGGCTTAGCCTGTTTGAGACTTCAGTATAATTTGTCAATAAAAATGACCCATCTGTCCCTTTAATTATGAAATTACACATTTCTCTGAATCAGTCTCCTAAATCATCAGAAAAGTACTGTGGCAAATGGTTCTCTTTGAAAATTCTTAAACCACTTCAGTATTTGATAGCATTCTGGCATACTATTACTTTAATAAAATCTTGAACACAATATCTTCACCAGATAATGACCTCATTAAAACATAAACTAAAAGATACTCCATAAACTTCCTTTTTAATTTCTTAACCACAAGAGGAAGTTTGCTTCATATATTTCAATAAAATTCATTTAGGTCTAATGTCAGTATTATTTTAACCTTTTTAATTTTAGAAATATCCACTGGAATTAGGTGAACTAATTATATTATGATGCACTTATTATACTAAATCTCAAATAGACATATTTTTTAAATCTTGTTCATGATCTTTTTGTTTGTTGATACACCTTTCAAAAATTGACAAAAATTAGTCTAATACCTTGACCAAATCTTTAGAAACTCTTCTCTTTTTTTCAGAAAGATGAAACCAGCTATTTAATGATAGAATAAATAAGAGGTTCTTTAGATATGGAAAGACTTAGGAAGGTAATGATGTCAGAAAGTTACATTTCCTCCAAAACCAGCAAAGTAAAAACATGCAGGTAAGACGATCACACTTATGGATTTTGCCAAAAAACATAACACTTTAATGGCCAATACTGACTTTCAAATAAGAGATGGTCACATGACAAAAACAATTATTTCATGCCTTTGAAATATTTTGATTGAACTTGTTAAATTTAGTTGTATTTTGACACTTACTATATATTATATTGAATTGCTTTTTCATTAATCATTCAATTCCATTGATAAAGTAAAACATTCTACTACAAAATTCACTAGCAGATAAATGATGCTGATAGTACAATGTCTGGTCAATTTTATGCCCAAAAAATGTTAAATTTTTATACGCCCCTATCTCTCTATGTGGATGTATATTGTCGGCACCCCTGTCCGTCCGTCCGTTGGTCCACATTAGCTTGTAAACGCTCTAAAAACTAGATTTTTTGATGGAATCAAATGAAATTCGGTATGTGTATACATATTCATAAAACGAAGATCAAGTTCGAATTTGAGCTATTTTCGACTGTTAGAAGCAGAGTTATTGCCCTTGCCCCAAAATCTTGAATATTTACCATCTGCATTCCGTGGTGGGCGTATATAGCTGTGGTCCACTATCTTTAAAATATCAATCAATGGTTAACTGAACCCTACCCATAACTATTTCTTATACACATTCTACCACCAAATTTAAAACATATGATCTGAATGTCTGGTCAATTTTACTCCAAAAATTCTTATATTTTGTAATATCAATCAATGGTTAATTGAACCCTACCCTAAAGTAAACTATTTCATAAAAAAAATTCAGTCAAGAAACGTAAACAATTTGTGGTCTAAACCATTCTTTAAAAATGTTTAGAGTAAAAATTCCTGAAGGTGTGTAAGAACACTTTGATATTGATTAGAAAAATTTGGAAAATCACCAAACTACTTCAGACTATAATATTGGCTAATTGAATCTCTTAATGAATTTGTTAATTAGTTTTTTAATTCCTCGTTATTTGATAATAACAGCTCAATATAAATTATCATATTTATTTATGTTTTCATTAACTGAAACTATATTTTGTTATGGGCGAAATCAAATGGTAAAGAAATATAGCATTATTTTACTTTAAAGCACAATATTGCTGCTTTTTCAATCAAAATCATAAAAACAGATCTCTATGCCTTGCTTTCTTCAATGAAAGATACAGTTATTGATTCACCCTTGATATTTACATAAAGGAGCACCTTCACTATCCGTTTGACCAGTCATACCTTAGTTTCAGAAACAGGAATTTTTTTAGCTTACATAATCAGTAATAGTGTTCACAGCTCATCGTCAAAATTAAGCCTTCAAATCCATGTGTATCCATAATAATTCACGTTTGAAAGTTAAAAATTCGACTGGAATTTTAGTGAGACTATGCCATATATAGAAAACACATATATAGGAATAGACAGTGAAATTTCTAGTTTGAGGTATATTTGAAGGAATTATGCGAATTTTGTGCGTTTAGTACTTCTGAAGACTATTAAAGCACAATAAAGACCCAAGTCAATTCCCAAAAATGACAACTGTTCCCCTTTAAGAAGCTTATTTTTTTTATACCCTCTGAGGCTTATATTTTAAAAGCATTAGAAGGGCCTCAAGACAATCCAAGTTAAAATAAGGCACAGGGGAGTCTGGGTGGATTTTAAGTACATAATTGAAAAAAAGACACTTCTTTGGTGAGGAATTTGCTTTCATTTAGGATACAACCTTGCCCAGAGGTAAAAGTTGATAATTTGGCATTATTTTGTGAGAGTTCACATTGAAAAGGCATGAAACCTACCGATTACTCAAAAAATGAATTTACTTTAATACATAAATCTATAATAAATTTTTAATGACTTGAAAAATGAATTTTTTTTTTAACATTAATTTATGACTTTTTGACTGTCAATATGGCACAAAACCACACTCAAATTTTGAAAACGACTCCATTTAAATAAAAATCTTATAATAACCTCTTTCAAGACCAGATGGCAGAAACTGGTATCAAATCTGCATCAAACAATTAAAACCTTTTAATTGAAACATATGTAGAAAAATATCCAAACTTTATTAAATTATGCAAGTAAAAGTCTAAAAAAAACATTTTACAATTTGGAGCTCGCCATGACATGTATCAAATAAATTACTTATAGAGCCCTCCTTGTAAACATAAGACTTTGTTCATTTGAAGAAATTGAAGTCTTGTATTTAATATTATAAGTTCTCAAGGTTAATTTAGACAATAATTTCTTCCAGATTTCCAAACTATTTCAAACTGGTTTAATGCCAAAATATCTCTTTTCATTCTGTCATGTTTATTAGAAGGTATAATTTCTATTACGAGCATAGTATTATGTAAGAAGACATGTTTGTAGATAAGAGTTGATGTAGCTGATAACTTTAATAATCTACTAAATGCTTGCTGCCATGCGTTTTATATTTTTATCCACGTGTGATACTTCAAGATATAACCTTCAACATTCATTAGTAAACATTCTTAAACTCTTACTTAAACTTTCATACAAAATACCTTTCAACAATTCATATATTTTAGATAAGTTTTGCAAATGGTTAAAAATATACATGTATATATAATGTCCAATAAAGTATGACTTTCATATAATATTCAATGTGCTGCATGTAAGCTTGTTATAAAATGTTAAATTTAATACACTTAAAATTTGAAAAGTCATATTTGGATTAATAGCAAGTTATTGATGTTCTTTGATTAATATTGTTACCAAATTTTGTTGATTTTGTAACAATTCTTTAACCATTTTTATACGCCCACATTTCTCTATGTGGACATATATTGTTGGCACCCCTGTCCGTCCTTCGGTCTGTCCGTCAACATTTGCTTGTAAACCCTCTAAAAACTAGAAATTTGATATGTGTATACATATTTATAAAACGAAGATCAAGTTTGAATTTGAGCTATTTTCGACTGTTAGAAGCAGAGTTATTGCACTTGACCCAAAATCTTGAATATTTACCATCCGTATGTCGTGGTGGGCGTATATGGTTGTGGTCCACTATCTTTAATTTTCCATTAGGCTTCTACATGATATTATACTTGTATATATTAATAAAGATGGACAATTTGGAAGTTAATTAAGCAAGAAAATGTGTCTGGACAATTGTTATATTAGCACTTAACAATTCCACTTAAAATCCCTCAATACTAACAGTATTTCTGAATCTTCTCACCTTAAGAATAACTTTCTTTGTGTTTTAGGTTAACTAAAAGTTAATTTCTCACCTAGTGTAATCAGGAACATTGGAGAAGAAATCAACCAAACATGCCAAAATATATAACACTGCAAAGTAAAAAAAAAGGGAATTTCATAACAATTTGTATATGATACATGATATAATGCATAAGCTTACCCAGTATATTTTTTATGTAATAATGGTGATTATATACAAAAATAAGTACTTGATATGCATTATATCACAAAAATAAAGACAGGGTAAACATCATATCATCCAGTCTTTATTATTGTGATATAATGCATACAGAGTATTTATTATTGTGATACAACGCATACCAAGTATTTATTATTGTGATACAACGCATACCCAGTATTTATTATTGTGATATAATGCATACCAAGTATTGATATTTGTATATAATCACCATTATAATATGATACCGGTACATTTCATTCTGAATAATTGTTTTTTCTAATAAAAAGATCGAAATATCTAATAGCTTTTAGGAAATCTTTGTCCTACTAATATACAACAGGAATGTGACAACAAAATTTAAAAAAAATAAAATAAAAAATACCAGAAATTGGTAATAATCTACTTACCAGGTAATTCATATAAAGTATTAAAAATTCTAAATCTTTTCTCATCCATTTGTACAAATTTATTGGCATAAAAATTATGGATTTCATGTCTGAAAAAAAAAGAGAGAAATTCATTATCAGAATTGCCTATCTTTTATACTAATAACAACTCATGTCAATTGAAAATTACAGTATACTGCAAAAGCAATTAAGCAATAGCAAAGTTGAACCAGTTAAAAAATGTATAAGCTTACCTATCTGACACTAATGCGAAAATTATGGGAATCTATTTTAAATACTCAATTATACAGGGGAATTGATCTGATGTCTTAAAGGGATCGTTTTCTAAAATTTATTATGTATTTCAGGGACACTGATAGCTTCAAATTGCACCATTCAAATTTTCATTCCGACGTCTGTGGTTCTTGCAATTCCACTAAAACTAACGTGTTTTATGATGTCACTAGAGGGGAGCTATCGTAAGCTACTATTAATATCTATGCAGCTCCCCTCTATTGACGTCATAAAACATGTTAGTTTTAGTGGAATTGCCAGAACCACAGACATCAGAATGAAAATTGGAATGGTACACATTGATGCTATCAGTGTCCCTGATACACATAAAAAGTTTATAAAACCTCTTTACAATCCCTTTAACATACGTCTTTAGTAGTTTTGATGTAAATTATATTTTGCTTTGATGAACGCTTACTGGTATGTATTTCAAGAGGCAAATTTTCACTTCAATAAGTAATAGCATCAGATCACTAGTTAAGAACATTTCAAGAGGCATTGGTTCAAGATTGACAAATATGGTAAAGACTAAAACGCAGAAACCAATCCTTCAAACAACCTACGTAGAAATCATTACCTATATTATCAACAGGAAGTTGTTTGATTAGGAACTTGTTTATGTTTTATTATAACAAATCCAAGAGGTTAGGTTTGAATGAAAAGTTTGATGTTTAAGTTGGTCTTGCCAAATTACACTGGTCTGCTTCCTAACAAGATGTTGTGAATTCAATGTTTTGGCCAAAACTCTAATCTAAATACCTGGATTGAACCCAAATGATCACTTTGCATTATTTGCAATTATGATGTTATCTGATAATGGTAAAATAGAAAATTAAATGTGATGGTTGGGACATCTTAACTGTATCCATATGAGCATAAAAGATACTCAAATTAATTTTAAAAAAATGAAATCATCTAGTGCAAACATAAATGACCATTTATTAAGAGCTTGGTGTCTCCAAGTACACATTGGCAGATATTTTCAAATCTTTAGTCATAGTAAGAGTGAGCAATTTCTGCCTGTAATCAAAGAATGATTTAGGTTAAGTCCACCAGTAATACAATTAGACTGAGAAAGACATTCAGACTGAACAAGGCTCAGTTTACCAGTTCTACAGTCAGACTGATCAAGATTCTGTTTACCAGTACTATAATCAGACAGAACAAGGCTCTGTTTACCAGTACTGCATTCAGACTGAACAAGGCTTGGTTTACCAGTGTTACAATCAGATAGAACAAGGCTCTGTTTACCAGTACTACAGTCAGACTGAACAAGGCTCTGTTTACCAGTACTAGAGTCAGACTGAACAAGGCACGGTTTACCAGTACTACAGTCAGACTGAACAAGTCTCGGGTTAACAAGTACTACAGTCAGACTGAACAAGGCTCTGTTTACCAGTACTGCATTCAGACTGAACAAGGCTCGGTTTACCAGTACTACAATCAGACTGAATAAGGCTCTGTTTACCAGTACTACAGTCAGACTGAACAAAGCTCTGTTTACCAGTACTAGAGTCATACTGAACAAGACTCGGTTTACCAGTACTACAGTCAGACTGAACAAGTCTCGGGTTAACAAGTACTACAGTCAGACTGAACAAGGCTCTGTTTACCAGTACTAGTCGGACTGAACAAGGCTCTGTTTACCAGTACTAGTCAGACTGAACAAGGCTCTGTTTACCAGTACTACAGTCAGGCTGGACAAGACTCTGTGTACTAGTACTACAGTCAGATTGAACAAGGTTTAGTTCACCAGTTACAGTCAGACTGAGAAAGGCAGTCAGACTGAACAAAATCTAGTTTACTAGTACAATACATGTATAGTCAGATTAATTAAAATTAAGTTTACTAGTCAGATTGAGAAAGATTAAGTTCACCAGAACAGAAGGGAAAAGGCCTTATTTATCGGTAATGCTTGAACCCTACAAAAAGCATTCCTATAACATTATTTGTTTCCAGACAAAAAAAATGAAGATATAAATTTGGTAACAAATTTGAAATTAAATAGATCAAGATGTGCTAGACATTCTAATTGGATCTTTCACTGGAAGTCTCTGTTTACAGGGAATCATAAACTTTGAAATAATTGAATTTAATCTCAGCACAATTCTTTTAATGAAATGTCAAGTAAAAAATCATTCTCTACAGCTATTAACTCTCATTTAACTTAAATAATTACAATCTTACGTGAGTTAAAACAGGAATTAAATTAGGTTTGGTGCCAAAATGAAACTGATCTTTCTGTCCGTATCCTTAAAGAAATCTTAATTAGATTCAATTTGATTCTGTGGACCTTCAGACCTGTATTGATTGAAATTGTATTTTTGATTTGCTTGTGTATTTTATTGTACGCCATCATTATAATGTGTATATAAATAATAAAACTTGACATCAAATACCATCCTTTAATACCCAACGTTTCATCAAAAAAGTTTTGACTTCATCTGAGGAAGAAACGAACTACATTATAATGTGGTCTTATATTGTCGTCGCCTCCGTCCGTTCGTCCACAATTGGCTTGTGAACGCAACAGTAACTACAGTTCTTATCTGATTTTAATGATATTTGGTGTGAACATTTATATTGAATTTGATGATCTTTCGATAAACGGTTTTTGAGTAATTGCCCTTGAAAAACGAATTTGTTTGTGAACACAATAGAGACTACAGTGTTTATCCGATTTAAATGATATTTGGTGTGATCGTTTATAATTTCAAAACCATATGAGACCATGTTGCTTTATGAAGGAACACAAACAAACTATACCAAATTTAGTCTCTCCAGTTTTCTTTGAAGTTTGGTGTACCTCGAGGGTAAAAACAACAGAATCTTTGGGGGCTCTTTAAGATAAGCTATTACATGTTAGATATATGTGAAGAGAAAATATAACAAATGATGTAGTTTAGGAAATTGGACCTTTTTAGGAATGCTGTTGACTAGGCTATAATTTTGTAATAATAGTACCATGACTACTGGTGGTGGAATATAACAAGGGAGTGGTACCAATAATAACATTGTTACTTTCCAGTCATAACATCTGATAGCATCTTAATGATAAAGTGTCTCATAGAAAGAAAAAGGTTGAAATCCCCGTCATTAGATGCTTAATCTGTAATATTTAGAAGCAAAACTAGGCCAATTTGATATATCAGCAAACATTCAAAGAAGTCTGAAAATGGCACTTCAACAAGAAGAGAGGTTTTTACAATTCTTCAAGATTTTACAATATCAAACAAATTTCAAGGAGTCTACTGGCTTTGAAAGTTCCAGATAAAGCTAATCACAGCCAAATACAAATTCATCATTGAGAATTTCGTCCTACTTTTTGTTGGTTTTACAGTAGAAAGAATGTAAATGAATCTACTGTATTTTTTAGTGAAATGTTTAAACTAAATAATTGTTTAACAACAACTCAAAAGAAAGATCAAATAATCCATTATAATCAATAATTGATTGAATAAAATAATTCACAAAAGTAAATGAATATTTGTATGTTATTTTAAGAATTATGTACCTCTTATTGTACCTATCAAAAATAATGTAACCTTTCATCTTTATGTGCCTGAGGACACGGGGGAAACACGTCGAAACATTGCATAAAACTTTCACCAGTGTTGTTCTATAAAGCTGTGTCTATAAATTGGCGCAGTTAATTTAGATTTTGGGTCTCGCAGGACATAGATGCATATCTTAAAAAAGAGATTTGTTCATAGATATTGCTTATTGTTTAGGAGGTGTAGAATCTGTATGTATGTTCAAATATAGGGCATGAATATCTGAATTTAATGATTACAGCTGGTACAGCCTATATTTCAATTTAATGAAATCATATTAAAACAGTGGAAGAGTTATCATTGAGAGCACTCAAGGTGAAATGCAGAATGAAAATGGTACAGATAGGTCTCAGATTATAAAATGAAGCTAATCTTTGTGAAGGTGTGTTAATAGTTTCACCTGACACTGTGTTTAGATTTTCATTAAGTAATTTCTCTCTGTACAACAGGTGTCTGTTAATCACCTGTCTAAACACACTAGTCTTCTAGAATCTGCTCCAGTCATAGGATCCAGGCTAATTTACATATTGACTATTTTATATCTTTCCTTTTAATTTGATTTATTTTATACAAAATATTCATTTCTTATCAATTTCAATACTTCTCCTTCATCATTTGACACACTTTGTAATTATATAAAGGCATTATTACTATTATTAATTGAAATGAAATGAATGGAGTTTTACTACCCACTTTTCTGCACCATATGGATTAATGAAGATGGGCAACACCATGCAGGGTACAATGATGGAAATTTTGCCAGGGCAGCCGCATTAGCCTGCTCTTTTTCGATTTCCAACTGTCGAGGGATCTTTAACCAGCACAGTCTGTAGCACACAGGACCTCGATTACTATTATTAGGCATTAAACTTAGTAGAATTGACTATACATTTTTATTCCTGAAAGGCTAGGATTTTTGAACTTTGAAAATCATGTCATCACTTAACAATCAAAACATAGCAAACTATTTACTATTAAATACTATGATGTGTAGCAAAGAGCTAGCTGAACTTTCAGGGTAGACCGTGTATATTGAAGCCTATTTGTACGATTTCATCAACAGTTTGTAGCATTATTACCACTCTAACCTACATTACACATCTATCTGGCATAACTTTTTCTCATACAATTGTTTTTCAAAGACATTTAATTATCACCTCAAATGATCCTACTAATTTGAAAAATGTAAAACTATTAATACAGTTACAAATACCCACCAGAAAAAATGATCTAAGATTTCACACAGATATATTAGATAATAA